GTTGCAATGCGCAACCCCTTGTCCATAGCTACAAATGTCATAAACCCGACCATTATAGCAAGCCCGAGGACCAAGTTTCGGTTTGGCTCGACGAGCACAAGGCGCACACGTTCGGGGCTATCCTCGCCAAGGAATATTTCGGGTAGAAGGTGGAAAAGTGTATCGCCCAGCACTGGAACGCTCGGAGTCAGTTATCGTCGCCTGGAACGTAGTTCACAAGGGTTTCAAAAGCTTTCAAATGCACTCTTGTCCCGAAGAGGAAACCTAGTGGTTTAAAAATTGCCCAAACAAGAAGACAGTTCCGAGAATTACTCACGGCCGCCTACGGCGAAAGCCACCATAACGGACAGCGATGAGGGGTCAATGTTCGGCGGACAAAAAGCCAACAGAAAGTTTGGGGGGCCGGAAATGTATAATGTTGCAAGCAAGGCATTGACCGCGGGGGTGCCTGGGAAGAGGACGGTGAAGATCTTCGATGACAACGTCGAGGTGTCGGGGGCAGCGGCGAGCTTCGCGGCATTGAGCTCTTGGACGACACTACATGTCTTGGATTCCTCTTAGCTTGGGATGTGCTCGGGAGCGTATGCTCGCGCGCTTACTTGAAGTTTTTCGTCCAGTTGCTCAAGACTCAACGAGTCGAGGGATGTGGTGGGCTTTCCATGATCGCGATCCCCTAGTTGAGAGGCAATTACCAAACCTGCAAAGAGACAGACGAAAAGCCAGCACCTAGGCCGGGAAAACGCCATATTTAGAAATATCCTCACAATTGATGTCCTCTTCCATATGGGACCTTGGACGGTTTTACGAATTGGGAAAACAACAGAGCTGAGGACAGCTCGCGTGAGAATGATGGATGATCTAATCAACATCCAAATGCTCGGTGTTACTACCTGGGCGTAGGTAATCTATGCTGTATCTAGGTAGTCGCTTACGCTAAAGGGCCGAATAATCTCCGATAACTCCTACCGTATATACGTAGTACGCAGTATTGAGCTGTGCAGTCCACAATTGAAGCATCAACGGAGTACTGGTTGCTTTCGTTGCACATTGAAGCAAGGAACATAAATCATTGATGAAATATGTTATCAACAGGCCTTGGAAGCTGGGACGTTGGAGTTCGTGTGGTGCATAAAACCGTGTACGCTTAGATTTAATGAGGCCGACAAAAACGGATTTCTGTTCATTAACAACTTTGACTCTGTAATTCTCTATTCCCACTTTCTAGATAACTGTGGAATTGATCTCCCTCAAGTAACCAATTTGTTGTGTAAAGGTTGGTATCTGGGTGAAGATTGGCGCCTGTTACATCATTAAGTGATACGTCCTTCGTCTTAATCCCATGAATTGTCCGCCTTTTAGCAAACACTTGCTTACTATAACTATTCCCTTGTTCATATCTCGTTGCTCTTATGACTACCTTACCGCTAGACCACTCTAGAACCAAATAACAAGACATCCCAACTTGTAAGTCTTTATCAATACTGTCCACATTTTGTGACTCTAGCATTTATATACGATGCAATGTATGATAATCAGTACAATCCACAAACACCCCTGACCATGGAACTAATGACATCTACTTAGGCCAGAATCTGGAACAGTATCGTAGATCCAGTTGCAACCTCAATTGAAAATTCGATATGATGGGGTAGCTACCCCGCAGAAGCACAAGCGTTTTGGGGTATACCCCAGCTAATTTCTCAATTTCTCCGAGAACAGTCGCCAGGAGATCCATGTATTCGGTCCGAGAAATCAACAAAGCGCTTGAGTGACGGAGACTTCCACAGACGAGTCCCTCATTAACACTACGATCCTGTCTTCAGAATATAGTCATTGGGTACACTAGCAATGCAGTGACTCTGTTCGGGAAAGCGCCGAGTACTAATTGCTGACACCTCAGGTGCGTGTATCCAGGGTACGACGATTTCAATGAAAAAAAAGGTGAAGGTAAACTGGATGGAGGCGAGGATGCGGAGAAATCTCCGGGATATAAAAGAACAAGCACGTCCTACAACAGGCTCCGGAGAATTGCACTGAATTCCATCCATCTCCTTGCCAGTCAAATCTCAATTTAGGCCAAGATGGGCATTCTTTCGACCAAGTCAATTGCACGGCTGTCAGTGCTTGCTGCTTGCAGTATAGCAAATGCGAGCGGCCCGCCCCAGGCAAACAACCTCGATGCCTTCGTTGAGAAAGAACGGACAATCTCTCTCCAAAATGTCCTAAAGAATATCGGTCCCAGTGGTTCTCGTGTTCCGGGTGCAGGAGCCGGCGTGATTGTTGCCAGTCCTTCTACCGTGAACCCGAATTGTGAGTTCGCCACCAAACTTTTCAGCCAAATTCCCAATACTGACAGAATGATAGACTTCTAGTAAGGAATTCCCGGAACCATTTCCTCCTTGTTCTGGCAACTTTCAGAACACGAGTTTTCCCTTTGGGCCAAGATAGTGTCCAGAAGCTTATAAAACCCTCACAAATCACGCTCCAGATGGCCGTAACTGACTCCGAATATTGCAGCACCTGGTCCCGCGATGCCGCTCTTACAATGAAGATGATAGTTGACGAATTCATGCTCGGCGACAAGCAGCTCGAGTCATACATTGAGGAATACATCCACTCCCAAGCAGTTCTTCAGTACGAGAAACCCCTATTTATTTTATACATGCCTCTGGTCTTCAGACGCTGTTGGTTTTAGCCCGTGGTGAAACTTTGTCAGATCATTCTTGCGTACGGCTATCATTGACTCCTGCTCTCCGTAGAACAATCACGAACCCGAGCGGAACCTTCTTACCAAATGGTCTGGGTCTTGGCGAGCCAAAGTACAACGTTGATCTAACACGATTCAACGGAGCTTGGGGACGCCCGCAAAGAGACGGCCCAGCGCTCCGTGCCATTGCCTTAATTACATATAGCAATTGGCTCGTGTCTCACGGTCAGAAGCAAAAGGCAAAGACAGTGGTATGGCCGATCATCTCGAATGACCTGTCTTATGTCGGTCAGTACTGGTATGCCAACCCACACCTCATGCTTGCAAGCCGCATAGTTTGTGCCTAACTTGATTAAAGGAATTCTACTGGATTCGACCTCTGGGAGGAGGTTCTGGGCTCAAGCGTCTTCGCCACTCAAAACCAGTTCCGTGCGCTTATCGAAGGCAACTCGCTTGCGAAAACTCTTGGTGTCAAATGCACTGGTTGTGATCAGGCCCCTGAGGTTGCCTGCTTTTTGCAGGAATCATACTGGAATGGCGAGTATTTCATCGCTAATATCAACAGCAAGGAGGACCGCACTGGCAAAGACGCAAACACAATGCTCGGGTCTATTGCCATATTCGATGTAAATGCTAAATGTGACGATGCTAGCATCCAGCCTTGCAACAGCCGAGCCTTGTCAAGCTTCAAGGCTTTCGTTGACGCTTTCCGCGACCCGGCCCTATATCCTATCAATAAAGGCGTGCCTCAATCAAAGGGTATTGCTCTTGGACGCTATACAGAGGATGTATATTTTACCGGAAATCCCTGGTTCGTGGACTGATCAAACTTGTACGAAGCATAATTCTAACATATTGCTAAAAGGTATCTTATCACTGCCGGCGCCGCCGAATTCCTCTACGATGCCGTCGCGCAGTGGAATCGCCAGGGGTCCTTGACCATCGATGCCACCTCACTTGGCTTCTTTCAAGACATTTACCCAGCAGCCCAGGCTAAGACTTACACACCAAAGGGCAGAAGCCCCGAATTTCCTCTCATCCTGAAGGCTCTCTTGGATTACGCAGATAGCTTCGCAGCCGTCGTTGAGAAGTACACACCAGCGGATGGTTCACTGGCTGAACAATTCAACAAAACTTCCCCATTCACCCCGGTATCAGCCGTGCATTTGACGTGGTCTTACGCTGCTTTCGTGTCTATGGCCGAGCGACGGGCCTCTCAATATCCCCCGAGCTGGGTCCCTGCCCAAGGATCCGTCGCCTTGCCGAAACAGTGCGCGTCTGGCTCAACTAAGGGCGTTTACGCACCCGCAACTGCTGCAGGCGCCCCAAATGTCACCGCGACCTGTACTTCCAATGTGCGTTTCGAGGTCAACGCTACGACATATTTTGGCGAGAACTTGCTAGTCGCTGGCAACACGACGGATCTCGGTTCGTGGAGTATTGGTAATGCCTGGCCGCTCGACGCTTCGGGCTACACAGACCAAAGACCTCTATGGGCCGCTACAATTGCACTTACGGCTGGTGAAACTGTCAACTACGCATACGTGCGGCAGGAGGACTGTGGTCAGCAACCAATTTGGGAGTCTGCTACCGCAAACCGCACTCTTGTCGTTCCACCCTGTGACCCCAACGCTGATCCCAATGCTGTTCTCGTTGTTACAAACGATGCTTGGCAGGGACCAACGGGCAGCACCGGTGGTTGCTAGATATGTACGGTACACTTAAAGGGCAACGTAATGTAATTATAATAGAAATTCGAATGCCAAAGTATTCACGTTGCCTTGGACACTTGACACCCGAAGTAACCAAAACATATTTGTAGGCTCCGCCTGTCTTTATGCAGAGCGCTCTTCTTTGCTCTGTAGAAAGCGTTGACCATTATTGCAGCATATCCCTTTCCCTCCCGCTTATACTATTTTAGTCCAGAACATGAATTTGTAGTTGTGATGTTTTCTTATTCTTGCTAGCTTTTTAAAAGCTCCTCGAGGGGTTGTGAAGTAGGATTATTACTTGGTGCACTTTCGTTGTAATAGCTGAGGTTAACAAACATCAGAAATTAAACATGATAAGTTATAACTTATCTGAGTGTTTATATGTATCTCTTCGTTGTGACGGAAAAAGGACGCCGTTAATCCATTAATAGTTCATGGTGTATATATAGTCACGTCCGCGACATTTATCATTTGTAAAGTTATGCCTAGTTTGGAAACTGGTCCGCCGGTTATTATACTCAAGCTGTCCAAAGGTAAAGGAATAAAGGTAAAAAGGAGAAGGGGAGAGGGGGGAAAGTCAATAGCCAATGAGGGAATCGAACCCTCGGTGCCTAACGATGCGGAATAAAGATATTGGGTAAGTATAATAACGCTGACTACGCTAGAAGTGCAATCGCTAGGCCGTACCAACTCGGCCAATAGTCCCTAATGTTAATATCTCATATATAGTACTCGTCGGTGTAAGGTGGGCACTGGGTCTCTGCTTGGACCACTCTGGGTTTGGATAGAGTTTAGGACACGTAATCCGGATAGAAGGCTGGGGAAATCCCGTGGCATGAATCGAGTGAGAAGAGGCGTACTAATACAGTTTGCCACACCTAGTAACCAAAATTAAAGTGGAATGCAAGGTGACGACCACAACATCGTAGCTGAGCCCCGGAGCAGGAGGCGGTGGTCCGTATTATAGAGGAGAGTGGTCAGATGATCTGGGTCTGGTAGAGAAGTCACGTTGTCCGAATCGTGTACCAGAGATACTCTAACCAGTAGATTTTATATTAGAGGTAGGCCAACAACTAACACACTCTGTATTTCCATAGTCGCATCTCAACTCACTTGCCGTCTACTTCCTCGCCAAGCCGGGACATGTTGAAAATGTGGTTGTTGGATATGCGGTGAAAAGGGAATATTCCGCCAAAAGTCCGTGAATACGTACGTACGCTTAAGGCCTAATACGTAACATGGATACAAATTAAGTGGTCATTGTATAGGCCTGCTCCAATGATTTTATAGGCTTAAAGAATAGGTAGAAGAGGCGGGCATACTTACGATATCCATTAAGTAGACAATGTCCCTAGACCGAGGAATAGAACGCACCCGACACTAGGAGTTCACTGCAGATATCGTAACTATAATGAAGAGACAATGTAAGAATGATTTAGCCTTATCGAAAAAACTAGGAGGAAGTCGTATTTACCACGTATTTTCAATTACACACGCCGTCTTTCCTAAAGCAAACGGGATATCAATCCAAGGCCGGCACTTGTTTCTATAGGATGAGACAAGGTGACTAAAACCATCTCACTACATAAACACATAATCAGCGACTCTGGGTATCCTAAAGGCCTTGCAATGGCCAGGACTTTTCAAGATTGTTGATAAAACTAATTCAACTTGGTAATGTCCATGCCGTCCTTGCCGCCCAAAGCCTTCGAGCCATCTCCCACGATCAAGTTCTCATAGCCAACCATGTAAGTCATCGGTCGAGCCATGAATCGATCGTAATCATCTTCCAACGCCGCCGCAAATTCTTTGCTATTGTAGAATGATAACCAATCATCCCACGTCCGAGCCCAGATATGGGCGCACCCGTCGTAGTCGAGCACGTTTTCACCCAGGCTCCGTATCTGATCTTTCATCTCGGGTGTCTGATGGTGCTGTACATGAAATTGTGAGCGACTCCCGCGGCTTTATATCACGGAATTTATAAAGAACCAGAGAGAGGGGGCATTGACATTACGTACCTGAGCATAGCGCACAATGTTTTTACGAAAGGCTTGAGTCGCGACAACCAGATCGGCATGCACTGTCTGCCAGTGCCCAAAGAACGTGTCGTAGTCGACCGAGTCGAGTTTGTTGAAAAACAACGAGATTTTAATGCAAGGTTGAAAGTTGGGCTCAGAGCTGTAATCCAGCTGCGGGTGCGTGAACTCGTGCTCAATCTTCTTCCAGGGCATCTTGATGGTAGATTCGTTCTGATTCTGCCTCGAACTATTGCTGAATGAGTCTCGTAAATACCATGTTCTACTGGGAAAGGAATATATAGTGCCTGTCACTAGGTATCAGGGGCTTAACGCCTATGACCGAAGTGGGCTAACCTTGCAAGTATCGTCACTCTCTGTGTCAGCTGCTGATTGGTTTCCCTGATAGGCCCTCCTGGATCTGTCCGATCCTGATTCTCCTTAGATAGGATGTCGGCTACGTGATTTAGGTAATTATCCGATATTTACCGTAGTCTAGCTATACTAGGGTGTTATGATCACCTATATGATCACCTTTTACGATCCCCAGAACAAAGGGCACGTATTTATATTGCTAGAGACCAGCTCGCGAAAGTATAGATCCTTGGCGCAACAACAGAGTTCATACGTACCCCATACCAGAGATCCTCGCGCTTTCCACATGTGATGGAAGTTGTTTTTGTTATAGGCTCTCGAGTAGTTGATGAACGTGTCCTTGACCTCCTACTTGGTGTTGTATTTCGTTTGGTGAGATGTACTGTTCGGAGTCGACCTTTGTGATGTATTCCGTGAGTCCAGAACCTTTCTTGGAAAATCGTAGGTTGCTAATGCGAGGGTGCTGATCTTGTCAAGGAAGTCCTGTAGAGTTTGGGCCCAACTCTCGGGGTTTCCGTATATCTTTTCGTAGTTCACATATTCGTAGAGCTTTATGGACAATCAAATTGTACCGAAAGTGATGAAACTAGGTAAAATACCTAGTGGCAAAGTCACGACCGGTTGGAGATTCCCGTGCTCGTCACTTCGCGTCCCCCCTGATGGTATTGGATTCATCTATGACACCTCTGAAGTTTTTCGGATCTTACTTTCTCGGACTTTCGTTTATGAACTTCCTGTAGCTTGAACTGCAGGGCGTTAATCCTACTTCGAAATACATTGACTTTGACTGATCGATAAGTTGCTTCATCTTCGTATCAACATATTCTTCGACTTGATCCAGAAGGGAAGGACTTGAATTTGACCACAGTGTTGTAGTGAGTAGGGTCACAAAGTCGCCAATCAATGGTGTTTGGCCTACGGTTGTGGCGACAAGGTCTCTGAGTGTATTGTTAAAGTTAGTTAGGGTCGGACATTTTGAAAAGATATAGATAGACTTCTTGAGTGATTTCGTGTAAAGGGACTTGCACTTTGGGCAAGCTGAGAAGAATGGCAATTAAATTGAAAATAGTAACACTGTCTATATTAAACGGCGAGGCCAAGCGCTAATTCACCAAGATAGGATGAATATCGCAACTTCTAGGATGTCGTCATGTTGTGTATTGGCAGGCAGCTGAATTACCCCTAAAGAGCCGTTTGCATGAGACAGCCAATAATGGCCTCTTCAACAAAGTTTGGAGTATTGTGTTGTACCATTCCAATGTAGTTTTACGTCCGTACCATCGGAAACCGATATCCTGATCGTAATCAATGCCTAAAGAATCTATAATGAGTTCATAGTTGTTTTAAGAACTGCCGATGTTGACACAGTAGGCACATAATGGCGAATGATCAAATATCTATCGGTGAAAGAATCCGTATCGGCGACCTAACCTGAAGTTTTTTTCTCCGTAACCATAACTTTTGAGGTGGATTGGAGCACGATTACCCTGGGGCAATAGTCTTTGATGATTGATATTTTTTATTCCCCTACTGTTCTATGGCATGCTTCGAAACTGCACCAAGACCAAGGTTCTCGATCAAAAGAACACGCGGCACCTTAATTTATCTGCTAATTCTCTCCGCGAAGCCACTTATGCGGACCTCATATGTCCATTTCTACGTTAAGTTCCGTGAAGATGTCTTTAAATCAGATTCTCTGGCTATACCCATGCGCACATGACTCCCCAAAGCCAGATGCCAGATGCCTAGAACACGCAGTGATGGTTGAGCAAAAGGTGACCGTCTCCTTTGTTAATGACCTAGATGTTACGCTATTATCGTCTACCGAGTGTACTCTTTTTGTAAAAGCTTGGCAATTGTGTTGAGTCTAAGACATCGAGTTAGCGGATGAAAACTTGATGAGGTTGAAGGGAACTAAATATTTAACTTACTGGATATTGCTTGTTCCCTCGTAAATAGCACCAATCTTGCTATCTCGCCAGAACTTCTCAGCAAGACCTTCGCGGACGAAACCCATACCGCCCATCCATTCGATGGCTAGACCGCTGACACGGCCCGCGACTTGTGATGCGAACAGCTTGGCCATGGCAGCATCTTGAACGAAATCCTCGCCCGCCTCCTTCTTTCTAGCCGCGTTATAGACGAGGGCACGGGCGGCTGTGATTTCAGTGTATGACTGGGCGATCTGGTGCTGCATTCCCTGGAACTCGCCGACGAGTTGGCCAAACTGCTTCCTGTCATTCCAGACATACTTGACCGCGTTCTCCCAAGCACCAAGAGCAAGACCGGTCATCTGCGCAGCAATACCAATACGGCCTTCGTTCAGGAGGCCAATGGCATATTTGTAGCCCTGGCCCCTCTCGCCCAGTAGGTTTGCCTTGGGTATCTCGACGTCGTCGAAGTTGAGGACACAGGTGCTGCTGGCCTTGATACCCAGCTTCTTCTCCTTCTTGGCGATCTCGAAGCCCTTAGTACCCTTCTCGACGATGAAGGCCGTGATACCACGGTGGGCCTTGCTCGGATCGAGGTTCGCAAAGACGATGAAGAAGTTGGCCTCGATTGAGTTCGTAATCCACATCTTGCTGCCTGAGATCTTGAAGCCGTCACTTGTCTCGGTGGCCTTGGTGGCAAGTTTGAAAGCATCAGATCCCGACACCGGCTCGCTAAGACAGAAGCTGCCGACCGTGTCCGTAGCCAGACGAGGCAGGAATCTCTTCTTGATGTCGCTGCTACCCCACTTCAGAATGGCTGTATTAACCAGCGTGTTGTGCACGTCGACCATTACACTGACGCTGGGATCGACACGAGCCAGCTCCTCGATGCCGACAATAGCGGATGTGAAGTTCATGCCGGCACCGCCGTAGTCTTCGGGAATCTCGACACCCATCAGACCCTGCTCAAAGAGCTGTTCAACAAGCGCTGGATCCATCGCTTCGGCCTCGTCCATGTCGCGCACTTTGGGTAGAATTACATCGTTGGCGAACTTGGAGACGGCCTCCTTCATTGCCGTCTCGGTCTCGGATAGATGTGTTATGGGGGTGGGAGGGATCTCAGAGATATCAGAGAGGCGGCGGGGGGTGGCGGACAGCAGCCGTAATCTGAAAGGTTCAGTATGGTCTACTCGCTTTTCAGAATTGCTTAGTAGATATTCGCAGACTACTTACTGCTGTGCGCTCGTTATCTGTGAGGGGCGTATGCATCGTGGCGATGTGGATGAGATTCTCGAAGCAACACCATGGCCCCTCCGAAGAGCCGGCCTCAACACTCTAGCAAACGACGACATTTCAGAGAGCAATTGGGGTTATATGAGGT